TTCAAGTTCGTTCGAAACAAACTTGTCTTCTGGTGTTGGATTTGGAAACAGTCTGGGAAAAAGACACTAAAGATAAGGAAGACAAATCTGGCCATCATATCATCGAATTTGCTGTTCAAAACTTGTCTGGAAGTTTCTGTTTTTGTTCTGCTGTTAAGCCTTCATCCGCAGATTTCTTAGAGGGTTTTCCTGACCAACGCCGGCCGTCACTTCGTAAAGAAGTGGAACGACATACCACTCCAAATTTTATACAGGTTTGGAAACAGTTTCGTGATGAAGTTGCTGTAATGTTTCCAAAGTATCACATAATTTTGGTCTCACACAATGGCTTTCAACATGATTTCGTCATCATACAGAAAGTGTTACAATCGTTTTCTGCAGTCAGTAGTATTCCTTAAGACTGGATGATTATAGACAGTCTCGAATTATTTAGGATTTATTATCCGAAGCAGGTTTCTTACAAATTAGAGTCACTATTTGAAGTAATCAGTGGAGAAGTAATGGAAAATAAACATTGCGCTTCGAGTGACGCTAAGCACCTATGCATTCTACTAATGTTTTTGATGGGTAAAATCGCAGAAGATTACAATCAATTTATCGAGATTATTAAGAAAAATTCATGCTGTTTCTTCCACAATCAATCTGTTTGTATGCATACTGCTGGCATTTTTCAACCTTTGAATGATACAACTTTGCGTAGCAGGTTCTCAACTAACTTGCCAATGCCTACTTTATTCATGGACAGCGCTCCTGGAATAATAATGTCGACTTCTTCTAATATGCAAGAAAGTTTCTGTCCGATATGTGGTGGAGAAGTCGTTATTAAAACAAACTCGATGAGCGACGAAAGATTTTATGGTTGTTCCAATTACCAAACCTATGGGTACAGTTGGACAGAATCCATTTAGAGATGAGTAAAAGTACTGTACGATGTTGTGTCTAATAATCACCAAGCTTTCTCGAAATTCTATATTGAGTGTGTGTAACGATTCAAAGAACATCTTCATCACACATCCATATACACCTACACCCACACTTTCTCGACTGCCGACTTTTGCGGCGCGAGTATAAGATTGTAGGAAACATTAAGTAGCGTTGTGATATTTGAAGGAGGGTGTGAGTGGGAGGGTGTGGGTGTGGGTGTGAGTGTGGGTGTGGGTGTGGGTGTGAGTGTGGGTGTGGGTGTGAGTGTGGGTGTGGGTGTGGGTGGGATGTGGGTGTGGGTGGGATGTGGGTGTGGGTGTGGGTGTGAGTGTGGGTGTGGGTGCGGGTGCGGGTGCGGGTGTGTTAGAAAAGCAGCCACACACCCACACCCACACCCACACCCACACCCACACCCACACCCACACCCACACCCACACCCACACCCACACCCACATCCACACCCACACTCACACCCACACTCACACCCACACCCACACCCACACCCATCCACACACCCACACCCTTCCGCAACAACACCCTTCAACTAAAATGACGAAACGACATCAATAAAACTTGTCAGAACAATTTTACCTTTGCAAACTCTCATGCCCACTTTTCATCGGGGTGTGAGTGTGGGTGAGCAGTACACACCCACGCCCACACCCACACCCACACATCCACACCCACACACCCACACCCATACCCACACCCACACCCATACCCACACCCACACCCTCGGTGTACTTTCTACCTGCCGATTGAGAAAGTGAGAATCTAGAATGCTTGAGGACTGGATTAAAAGATTCTATATGCTTGCCCAAGATCAATCACTATCAAATACTTGCTTTTGAAAAAAAAGACAGCGAATGGGTATGAGTATTTGGTTCTACGTACAGTCACCTAATCTCACATCTCACACCCACCCACACTCTAAATCGAGACGAATTTTCGATTTCGTGTAAAAGTTCGTGGAAAATTTTGGAATTTTTCCATTTCTAAACAACTTAACAATAGGAAATACTGCTTCTCTCAATGATCATTTATCCTACCTGGACGATTATCAGAAAAATTTACAGCATAGAAAAAGCGAGAAACGTACCATTCGTTGTCAGCAATATGTTGTTTTTTACTAGAATGTGCAGTGAGAAATCTATCTTCTAAGTATTCTGTGTCCCAGTATCAATGTCAGGCATAGTATATATCGCACTATAATATCATTTTTTTTCTAAATAATTGTGCCGTTTCGAACTCGACAAAACATTGACTCATGTTATACCGAAATTGCCGATGAAGAACGGACAAAACAAACTAACAGCTACGCACAAATAGCAGATACGAAGCACAAAAAGAACACAGTTTAGAACCAGAACAGAGAAGACATGATAGTATGAAATAGAAAGAGAGAGAACGACAACTGATGATAGACTCATGGCCTTCCTATTATACTTTACAATACTCTTGCAAATATCAAGCACAGGCCAAACGCATCTGGCGACGCAATTAGACCTCAAAAAATTGACTTGAGTAATCAAAGATACATAAGCTTTCAGACCAATGCTATAGATGTTATTCTTGTTTCTCCTTTCTCTCCCTCTTGTATATATATGTATATATAAGGCTGCGCGTTGTACTGTACACGATCTTTATTCCGAAGGAACAAAAGAAAACTAATAGATCTTGGACAAATATAACAAGAATAAGAACATACAGTGATCAATATGAACAGGAATGCCATTGTTTGTTACATTTATTGCTGAAATTTCTTTGCTCTAATTACAGACATTGTATTTTCTTACTTCGTTAAAAAAATACCCGCAGATGTTTTCGAGAAAAAAATTGATTATGAACAATCAATCTAATATATTGTGTACAAGAAATTGACTGTTATATACGGTTAAAAATGATAGTATTCGATGGAAAAAATATCGCACATAAAACAACGAAGAATGGTGTTAACAATGAGTTTTAGTCATAAAACAATGATTTATTTAACTCTTCTAGACTTTAGAGTTTCATTCTATGGAATATCATTCGTAGGTATTCCCTTATTTGATTGAGACTGTCATTCAGTGATAGCTGTTACGTGAACTAATAGATATTTTCTAATTATCGTATCATTGTTCGTGTGAATATTGTTTTCTGATTGCTTCTTTTTTCATGCTAACATGTTGACAACGATAATGCTTTCATTCGATAATGAAAACTTGTATGTCTTTCTACAAAGTTATTTTATTTCTGTGTTCTCTTTCTTCCTTGTCGATCTTTTCCCGTTTTTCGTGTAGTGATAGTGTTCTCATATGACATTTGGACAAGACAATTGGGATGTTCCTATAAGAGACGTTGTCTCCTGCATCTACCGTCTCATGTTCCCCCTGTACAATATAATTGAAGGAAAAATCTCATCAATAAATCTACGATATTGAGAATAACATCATATGTATTCAAACGAATAGAACTTGGTATGCAGGAAAATACCCATGAGAAAAGCATAGAGTTGCTATCTCTTCCGCTTTTTCACCTCTTTTTCGTTTTTTTACCCGCTGTTTCGCACATTCCCGGTGCTCATGTGGGTGGGAATGGGTGTGAGTGTGGGTGCAGTTCTTCATTCTTAGAAACCTGCATCCACACTCACACCCCGATCAAAATGTAGTTCTTCCGAAACTGGATAAAAAAACAGAACTAAAATAATTATGTACAGAATGAATTGTTGATGCAATGCTGTTGTTTTAACTAGTTGCTGGTCCTAGTTTACAACATATTGCTCAAGCATATTTTATATCATCAAAAATCAATAGAGAGCGTTATTACGTTTGTGTTTCGCTGGTTTAGAGCACGAATATCGTGATGAACCTAATGTGGTGGAGTTTGGTCTTCTTTCAAGTGATCTTAAAGTAAAATATGACAATAACATATTTAATGATAGCATCGATGAATACTCTCATTATCAGAAAAGAAAATTGTCAAAGAGTAGATAGCGTATAAAAATACATAGCATATTTTAAACACTGCCTGAACCGAATCGAATTTTTGTCATTTGTTTCAGTATCTGATACATAACTTATTCATAGATGCGTGGTAACCATTAAAAAATTGTCATATGACAAAAGAAACGATAAAAAGAGAGCGTCGTTGCGCTACCAATATATGTATCTTTCGATGGAGCCTGTTGAATTTTTTATGACGCTCGTTGTTATACCACTTATATATGATGTGCCATAGGGAACAGTTGTCAAAGGTATTTTTCATTTATGGTCATTTTCTTTTGTTCGGTTAGGTATTCTTCCTTAGTACGTTTTCTTGTTTTCTTCATTTATCGTCTTCTCTGATTTGATGTGATAACTCATGTACTGTTCCAATCCTGTTATATTATCTATTTTGATATATTCCACCTTTCTTCTAACATTTGATATGAATACTAGTTGTTTGTAAGTAAAGAGGGAGAGGAAGTAAATTGAAAGAGAGAAGTGTGATAAAAGAAGCCATAATAGACATCTATATACATCAACATTATTATTGGAGGTAACACTCATAAAAAAAGCAATAAAAGAACTAAAAATAGCTTTTGGAATAAACCAAGGCAGCTGACGTTGAATTTTTTCAACGATCGCAGGTTTGTCACTATATAATAGAAAGAAAGATTGATGTTACTTGGAAAAATTATTTCTATAACACGGCGAGAAACCATAGTGCATCAGTACAACGAAAATAAATTGGTTCATTTCTATATAAACTGTCGTAAGCATAATGAACAATTCTATTAATGATAATACGATTTCCGATATTAACATGAGGTAATATTTGATATTATTGTTCTTTTTTCTAGCTCCCATTTTATTTTTCTTATTGAGATGTCACAATTACCTCTTTCGAAATTCAATCATTTCAAGAATGGTCTAGCAAACTTTCTTTTCTTTTGCAGAGTCATCGTTGGACATTTGAAACAGTTAGAATCCAATTTTCGCCAATGGTTCATCAATTTTCATTTTAAAAACCGGGATGCAATTCATAGAGATCTACTTCTATTCCGTATACTGTCCATTATTTTGCTGGTTGGCTACTCAATTATGGACACAATAATGTATTCATCGAATTCCATGGAAAAACCCGACAGTTTGACATTTCTTCATGGTTCACGTTATGTTGCTGTAGAAACCCTGGTTATTATTTATGCAAGTGGTGTTGCAGCATTCGGTATATCAGTTGAGATCTATATCTTAATTCCCATGGCTATCGTCAACTGTATATTGGTTGCTCGAAATTGTGGTAGCTCAGCTAAGACAATAGCAGCAGCTGTATGGGTTGTAAAGATTACGTTCTTATTCGTAACAGTTGAATTGTGTTACCGTAACTTTCGAAAACTTAGAGGATACAAGGAAAACTTCGCTTCATCAGCCCGTGCTATGTTTCGGCAAGCACTGTTGTTTAGTGTCACCATGCTTTTCTTGAGTTCTCCAGGATTGAGAGCATTTAATAATGCCACGAATAAAAGTCTACCAAAACCATGTGCATATGAAACTAAGCATTGTGGTATTGTGAACTTGTATGAACCAGCTTTTTCGTATGGCGATGATAAATGTTTAGAAGATTTAATAGCTTATGTCTCTGGACGTGAACAATTACGTACTTTACGTAATTTTATTATGTTGAATAGTGTTTCTTACTCTGTTTTCAATGTTAACTTTCTTGATATCAAACATGGTGCCAGATATTTACCACTACGAATTATACTAATTATTCTTTTTGCTGTTGTAGCTTCATCAGTTCTTGTGTCAACTATCGATCCATTCATTTTCATTGATAATTATCAATTACCATACTATATTATCGAATGTATTCTCTTCATTATTCTGTTTGGATTGCCCGCGTATAATCTCTACATTTTGCAAAATCAAGACCCACTAACGAATCCTCAACCAGAAGAGGAAATTGAAATGATGGATCCATCACCACGAATATCATCATGGCTATAGATATTCAATAGCAAAAACCTGTTATGAGTTTCCTGATTGAACTATATCAGACATCAATTATTTCTAGAGTATATGCAACAAAAGAAGCGTCGTTTTGGTAATTCTTGCCTACTCATATTCATATCCTGTTCACTTTTGCACATTTCAACTTTTTGACATTTGATTTATTCAAGCAACGAACAAAATGAGAGACCGATTCAATGTATCACGTCGCCGAGTAATGAATTCATTCCTGTACTCTAGAGCATAGGCAAATTCAAATTTGATTTATCTAATTTTATATTTAATTGCTATTTTTTGTATTGTGTCAATTGAGTATTTTTAATTTATTGTTTTCATGATAAGATATCTCACACTATTTTTTTTAACAATAACAAACGACCATGATCATGTTTTCCAGTGACAGATTATTATAGTGGAACCCTTGTTTTTTGTTTTATGCTGTGAAAAAATCAGATTCTCTAAAGCTGCTCAATTTTTATAAATTCACTTTAGATTCGCTCCATTGTGTTGAAAATAATGTAAAACTATTCATTACAAAGACAATGAGAGCAAGAAAGCATAAAACTTCTTTCAAAGTGTATTTTCTGTATTCGAGATCGTTATAATGTGTTTGCTTTCATTTTTATAACTACAGTAAAATAAAATCATACTGGGCTTAGTTGAAAGTCGACTCTCGAATCCCATTAATCAAAGATTCTCGCAGACCATAAACCCAAAGGACAGCCAAACACAACATCGATCACTCAGATCGAAAAAACTTTTGTGCTATATACATATGGTGACTACCATCTAAGGACTCCAGTTATCGGGAAGCTAAGTGAAAGGGGAGGGGCGAGACAGGTCCCCACCCAACTAAAGAAAGATAAGTTGTTTCTGCAAAATTTTTTCAAGTCTTTTGGTTATTTGCCGATCTTGGTCGTGGCACAGTTATAGACAGTCTACTATATTGTTTTTCTCGGTTACAATATGTTAATGAAGGTATTTCATTTGTAAAAGAATGCTCTCCTATCACAAGACTCTGTTTTCTACTATAAGCTTCGTTCATTTTACTTTTTGTTTGTGCTAGAAAATTCATCTATTCTAATGGTCTTTTGTAGACCTACCTATTTGACATGTAATATCCTGAGATGTGAGTACGGGATGTAGAAGTGTGGGTCCTCTCTTCGGTGAGACACACACACATATCACACCCTTTGTTCTTTATTGATACACTTGAAGTCATAGAATACTTAACTGTAATTTTTACTTACAATTGGGACTATTACTTTTCATGTAGTTCCTTGTAACCTTCGTTGAATATCGGTTAACACTGAAAAATCGAATAAAAAATATTATGAGTACAAGTTCGGTGAGCTTTCAAATTTCCATCTCGCACACAAAAAAACAACACAATCAATTGTTTTACCACGATTATTTTTCACATATATTCAAGACAATCAGAGAACAGAAACAGTTAAATGTATTCGTATTGTTGTTCATTTTTGTGAAAGATCAATAAATTGAACACGAATCCGTAATCAGATCCTTCTATCGTATCAAACAATTAAACAATGTTTTCCAAGAAGTATGTATGGTTTTTGGAATAATAACATTGATCGAGCTTGTTAAAAACATAGAATATTTTCACAAGTAACTTGACCAATACAAGACATGGTTCACTAGAAGTATCTAACTATTATTCTTAATATCATGAAAACTTCTTGATTAGTATTATATTAATGAAATAAAGTTCATTCAACTAGTTATTATTCTGTATCTTTTTAGGATTTTTAGTTATATAGTCAAATATCTTTCATTGAAAGATGCCATTCCAATTACATACGTATTAATTTTTTGTAAAATATTTTGTTCTGTATCACAATATTGTCATCCAATACATTCTTATTCTTATATGAACTATGATTACGTGTTGCTTAGATATGTGGATATAAAGAAATTTGTATTCAAAAGAACAATATATGTTGTTTCATTCATTTTTATTGTTATAAATCCACCGAATAAAGAAAGTTTTTTTAATTGGTGTGATCGCTAATTGACTGGAAATTTTTTTTATCTAAAACTTTATCTATATCTTAATAAAATATTCGATAG